AAACGCGGGCAGAGATTGTGTTTGTTTGCAGTGAATAGTACTCACCCATGTTAGGTAGTGAACGAGCAAGCAGCATCACGGGCACCTGCATGCGATTGCTATCGCCATCAGGGCCATGTCCATCTCGTCGTTGTTGACGGCCCTCTCAAAATTGCTATCGCAGGTCCTTTGAGTAGGCATTCCAAAAGCACGATAATATATCAAACACGGATTGTTCCGCAGCCGCGTAGGGGTATCATCAGTTTCGTAGCATCGTAAGGTCATCCAAAATCATCCATCATTGTTCAAAGCTCATCATCTTCATCATCGCTGATGGTCTCCCACTGAGCCTTGCCCTCGTCCTTAATTTCACGCTTGACGTCGTACTCCGTCTTGATCTCGTGCTTCGGCTCAGCCTTCACATTCTCCTCCTTGATCTCATTCTTGTAAAAATCTTCGCTCTTGACAACCCCTGCAAGGACATCACGTCTGGCATGGTAAAATCGATCCAAGCACTCTCTTCTCTTAGCCTGTGTCCAATTCTCAACGGTTAGTGCAAAGGAAACGACATCGTCATATCCTGCCCAACGTGCCATGCTGCAAAATTGGCGTTTCATCACAGACGTTGGAGGTTTGTATTTGTAGCGTATCTCGCCATCTGGTGTAACAATCCCGGCACTCGGATAAACGTATTCTTGAGCTTGGGACTGAGATTCGTCTCGAAAGACCTTCGTCTGTTGTTCTGCGTTTCCCCAGTCTGCTCCTTCTTCAGCTCGTTTCGACAAGTATGCTTCGACCTTTGATGTTCCGATTACCTCACTATTCTCGTGAGTATACGAAACACCCACGGACGAAAGAATGGCTTGGATTGGATCGGTTTTTCTCGGTGCATCTTCTGGTCGAAACTTTGTCTTGCCACGACGAGTCTTCTCTTCACCAATAATTTCTGCTGCTAGTTGAGACATGGCAGCGTGCTCTTTCTCTTCGGTTTCAATAGGACGGTCTTCGTTTTTGACCTCTTCGTCGGATTCCGAGTCCGGCTCCTCAAGCTCCAAATCCGCCACACGTACACCCGCCTTGGATTCGGCGACATTTGTCTTGTTCACAATGTCCCGCAACACTTGGTTTTCGTTTTGATAGGCAAAGAGGTTCTGCAACCCGAATATTTCGCCTTTCTGGTCTTTGCGGTCTTGAACACCTTGAAAATAGCGACGCTCCGATGTTGCATTGTAGCCAATGTTGGCTTGCTGTTGCTTGTAGATTTGTCGAGCATACACAATCTCTTCCAACGTTCCTTGGCTGACCAAGCGAAACACCTCGACATCTCTGGTCTGTCCAATTCTGTAAGCTCGATCTTGCGCTTGTAAGTCGTAGCTGGGGTTCCAGTTCGGATCTACAACCACAACTTTGTTCGCGGAAGTTATATTGAGCCCAACACCACCTGCTTTCGTGCTGATGAGGAATACAAATTGAGTGGGGTCAGTGTTGAAGTCTTTGACGGCTTGAAATCGGTCCTCGTATGCCATACTACCATCAAGGTATTTGACGTTGAAGTTCGTACTGATGAATAAGTTTTGTAGCATTCGTAGTAGGCGGACGCTGTGGGAGAAGATGAGGACCTTGTTGTCGCCTTGGTCATGCCAGAAGTTGAGCAATTTCTTGAGCACTCTCCACTTACCGCAGTATTCAGGGTTCCCAGTGTGCAAAATGCTATCTCGAGTGCGCCAGAGCTCCTGCCACTGGTCAGGCATGGCAACTTCCAGTGTCTCAAGATCTTTGGCCTGCTTTTCTTTTGTGTCGCTACCCTGAGGAATGAGGATGGCCAGATGATTCGAGATTTTCTGCAGGTTGGCAATAGCGGGAAACACCCAATTCTGCCATGGAGTTCCATCTTCCATCAACATGCGACAGCACCAGCCAGCTTTCTTACGGCTCCCACAGTCACAAAGTTGACTGCTGTCCCTGATGTACTTCACAATGTCGCTCTCCAGAAAGTTCTGGTATGCTTTCGCTTGAGTCGAAGTAAGCGGACAAAAGACAACGCGGTCAGTCTTCTTTGGAAGCTGGTCTTTGATGATAGCTTTCGTACGTCGCAAGAAGAATTGAGGTAGAAGGTTATTAGCAAGCATTTTGGCAGTCTTTCTCGCTCGAGCAAGTTCATAATTCGAGGCATTGTGGCTCTGACCCAGTTTGAGTGGCACACAAACCGTATTCTTCCAGGTCGTTATCGGACCAAGTTTGCCAGGATTCGTCCAATTAAGCAGCACCCAAAGCTCTTCATACTTGTTCTGAATGGCTGTACCGGTTAAGCCAATCCGGCACAGGGCATTGATGTTGGCCATGGCCTGTGTTATCTCTGAGCGGCGCTCTTTGATCTGGTGACATTCATCTGCAACCACGCAATCCCACTCGATCATATTGATCTCCTCTTTGTGGGTGCGATAGGTATGATAAGTTGTAATCATAACCTCCAGCATACCTGCTTGAGCCTCCGCGAATACTTCATTTCGACGAGCAGCACCGCCGTGGTAGGTATCGACATGCCACCAGCCCCAGCGCCGAAACTCATCTTTCCAATTTTCCATCAAAGTCCCTGGACAAATGATCAATGTCCTTGGGTATTTTTGATTGGCCCGCCTCATCTTTCTCATTCTTTTCTTGTCCCGCTCATCGCCAGTCTTGCCATATGCCGCAGTCAAGAATGATATCACCTGTACGGTCTTTCCCAAGCCCATATCATCTCCAAGAATTCCTCCTCTCTGATACACAAAATGTTCATGCAAGAAAGCCACGCCTTTAACCTGGTAATCTCGCAGGAATTGTGCAATCGGAGCAGGAATCAGACCAAGAGAATAAGGCAATTGAATGTCCTTGTATTCCCTGGAGGCTGTGAACTGAGGAAACTCAGGTCGTTCTCTCAATTGCTGAATTCGCTCGTCATCTGAGAAGTAGATTTCGTCGTAGGTGGGTGGTAGCCACAGGCCGCCTTGCTTCAACTCTTCGGTGCGTTTATCAAACTTTGTTCTCCGACTTCGAACATATTCTGGCATAGTCCATTCCATAAGATCTTCATCAGGATCCGAGTCGCCATAATTTTGAATCTTCCTACGCTTCTTCCTTGGACCTTGCAAGCCCACACCTGTGGTAGCGCCACCTTTTCTCGACCGCGGAGGAGGATTGTTTTCTTTTTCGACAGCTCTTGCTTTGCGCGCAGACTTCAGTGCTCTCTTCTTTGCGTCTTTCTCCCTGTTCTTGAATCTTTCATCCTCTGATTGCATGTAATTCAGCTCGTCATCGGAGTCTAGTTGCACTCTTTCGAAGTTGGTCGTACCAGGACTGCGTCGCTTCTTCGTGTCTGGATCATTCTTGATACTGACAGCGTCCGAAGACTCCGCTTCGGTGGCTGAACTGGTCTGGCGGATTTCGGAGGGTTGTCTCTCTACTTTTTTCGTCAGAGTCTTGGGTGGAGGGGCAGATTCCCGCTTGATCCGCGGTCCATCCAGATCATCGTCTTCGCTGTCGGTGAACACCATGGTATTTCCTTGCTCAAATCAGTTGTGTAGTAGATGAGCGGCAAAGTGTGGCACTTAACGCGGGTACAAAGATGACTTCATTGCGCGGGCGCGAAAACCCCACGACACCACGTGAGCATTTCGATTTCTCCGACACTGCCTTGGGACTACTTTGCGCTTCAAGAAACCACATTCCCATCAACAATATGTCGAAGCAGCAGCAGTGACGCTCTTACCAGAACTCAGCGACACCGGTCGCTACCTACGAAATGCCTCTCGATACCCTCTCTACCTATTCGCAGACATTGCTTCGACAAGATGGCCGAAGATGGAATGAACTTCGCAGAATTACTGCCTCGATTTCGACGCAACCGTCCAGTGATGGCAGCAGTTTGTTGACCATGGGTAATACAATGGTGGTGTGCACTGTAACAGGTCCAAGAGAAGGGTACGCCTGACACCGTATTGCTGGAGCACGATCTCTGGGACTAATCAGCTCGTAGCCGGGGCCAGCGCGACAACAATAATGCAACTGTCGAGACTGAGATCAATGTTGCACCCTTCGCGCAGATGGACCGTCGACGACGCAATCGGAACGATAAGCGAATCCAAGAACTACAGACTACCATCTCCAATGCATTTCAAAGTCACCTCTTCACTCACTTGTACCCGCGATCCGCCATCTCAATATCTATACATGTCCTCAGTCTAGATGGTGCCCTTCTGGTTGCGTGTCTCAATGCAGCAAGTCTTGCTCTTGTGGATGCGGGCGTTCCCATGCCATCCATCCTTGCGGCCATTTCGAGCGGAAGTATCACACCAACAGACGACTCTTCAGCTAAGCCGGAACCCATACTCGATCTCAATAATGTTGAAGAGCAGGAATTACCATATCTCTCTATCGCAACAGTAGCTGGCCAACCTGAAATGGAGGACAAGGTATCTGTGCTGATGATGGAATCACGGTGCCAAATCGGAGGTGCTAATAGCAAGATGGAGAGCATGTTAGCCACTGGTGTGGATGGGTGTAAGCAAGTGCGGCGAAAGATGGAGGATGTTATCAGACAGCATGGTGCAAAAGTTATGCAAAGCAGAAAATAGGTTACTCGGGACCGACGTCTGGCCATGCGGTATGTCCATTGCGACTTGACAAGGCATGCTGCACGGCGCATTGAGGAACGGCATTAGGCTGGAGGGCATCAGGGAATCTCCAGTAGGGACGATGGTCATCCAGCTTTCGGGAACAGTCCTCTCGCACAACAGTAACGTTGCGAGTAGTGGGCACTTTCAAGGTATGGTGTTGATGAGAGGGGAGATGGCAAAAATCACTCTGACACCACACAGGCCTGGCTGATTCTAATCGGAAAATGCCGGTCGCTGACGACGCCTTGGCTGTTATTGGATCAACCTGTTCGAGCACACAGTGTGTCTCCCAACCCATTCATATCAGAGCCTGCTTCAGAAGCAAAAGCAAAAGCAAAGCCCTTGCGAAAAGGGCAAAAAAGGAATTGCATCATCGCGGAGTCGAACCGCGGTCTCGTCGAATTCGACCAGTATGAAGCTGGTATGAAATGGCAACGACGAATTCTACCCCTGAACCAATGATGCTGGTTTCATGTGTGTGCAGATTGTGGAAGAAAATTTTCTCTCTTTGATATCTCAGGAGTAAAATTGCTTGTGTTGCAAAAAGGAAGGATGACCGAGCACAAGGTGGGTATCGAGGGTATATCCACCCGGCAAGCATTCATACTCAGACGAACCCGGGTCATAGCCTCAGGGGCGTGACTGCTGGGACTCAGACATGGCTGGCAACATGTTACCTCTGTTTTGCCGAAGGGCTTGGAGATGCGACAACCGCCTGAGGGTGTTTGACCACCTCTAAACGTCTTGATACTGTACAGCATCACCAAGAGGACTTGTGCTATACCTATTGTCCTCCCGATTATCAGCCTGCTGTTCACTAGACGATTTGACCATTACTTGAAAGACTGCCACACTCCTAGGGTTGGAATCAAGTTGTTGTGCTTACAGCTGTGAATGCCAATTCTCTCGGATCCCTCCACATGGTGCACGGATTGAATCGCCAAACGCCACGATATCGCCTGGCAAACCAATAGTGAATGATGTAGGGCACAAAGAATGGTACCGATGGGAAGTCATGCATGCCACCTTCGAAGCTCCTGTCTGCTGTTCCAAACACAAGAGGGCCGATTCGATACTGGAAGCAGTCAGTGACATTGCCGCGTTCGCTTACAGCCAGAGGATCTCTGACATTGTCGGTATCCATTAGGCTTTTTTCGAGACGCTGATAAGCTTGCCGTATAGCCTTGGTATCGTATTTGTCGAGAGCTCGCAGAGTATCAATCTCGTCATGCAGGTGACGAGTCAACGGCTCCGCGAAGTCTTCGATGAGGCCCCTGAGCTCCCGTCCGTTATAGTCTTTGGGAAGACAAGTCTGAGAGTACTCCTGAAACAGATCAAATCCCGGCGTGAATGCTCGGTGTTGCTCTATGTTGCGTTCCATGAGCCCTGGGACCTCTGAGATCCGCTCTATGCTTGGGAAGAAGATCTTCTCTTCGGCATCGTGGTGGTGGTGCATGGACTCACACCAGCATTGACAATATGTCAGGAAATCTCGAATGGCGTCCAGATCTCCGGGCGGTATGTGTGTCGCTTGGAGGTAGATGGAGTTCAACCCTCGGAGTATGCCATTGTGGGCAAGTGCCATCTGCGTTGCAACATAGTATGCCGCATGGGAGGACTGTAAGGATACATTAAGTGATGCGCACCCCCTCGACAGAGAAACAACAAACGTACGTCTTTTGAGAATGGATCGGTAGAAATGAGAGCATACGGTTTATCAGCCCACTGAGAAGACATACTGGCTCGTCCAGTAGTTGCAAAAATCAACGTCGAGAGCCATTCTACAGTAGTAGGGGGTTAGCGACACATATACTGAAAGACACATACTGTAGTTCGTACAAATATTGTAACAGTCTTTTGGGACCGGACCAATGTTGCCAATTCTACGTCCGTATCACGCGAGTACTAACTGCATTGCTTGCCTTGACGATCGCGGCGCAACTCGACTCCGCTACTACAGTCAGGCACCGGGGTAGCATGATGGTGGTTAGCCTGGTTGGCTTAGGAAATGGCCACGGCGCAACTCAACCCCGGCTTAGTAACTGGCGAGCTGGCTTGATGCACGATGATGCCCAGTGCATACCACGATATGGGGAGGGGGTGACGAGTAGATATATGTAGGTACCATCTACTCTCAAACCAGGAAATCCTTCGTCTTCTGCTACAATCAGTGCAACTCAACAGCAATCATGAAGGTCCTTCTCATCGGAGCAACTGGCAATCTGGGTCTTCGCCTTGTCGCAGCGCTCCTCACGCATGGCCATAGCGTGTTTGCCTACGTCCGCTCCTCGAACAAACTTGAGTCTCTTCTTCCAGAGTCTGTATACCGCCAAATCACCGTTGTCCAAGGCAATGCCACCGATTCAGCCTCAATCAAAAGGGCCATCCTGGACAACAACTGCGATGCCGTCGTCAATACAGCCGGCTTAGCGGCCTTAGCTCCTTGGGGGAAAAGTGAACTGCCCGCAATAGTTCGCGCAGTCGTGGACGCTGTACGAGCAGCGGGATTGGAGAGACAGAAACCGTTGAGAACCTGGTTCCTAGCTGGTCTGGGAGTATTATACTTCCCAGAAACAGAAACCATGTTCTCAAACTAGTAAGTACAGCTACCGTCACAGTCACAATCGCATTTCCCTCCACATACACGACCGTTTGCGTCTACTTTGAAAAGAAGCAGGCTGGGGATGCCGTTGGCTCTTGAATACTAAGACATCTGCAGTATTCCCATCTACCTCGAACACCGCCAGAACCTCCAGCTTCTAAAAGCTCTCCCACCGAACACGGTCGACTGGTCTATGCTGTGCCCAGCCGTCATGAACCCCGAGTCCTCCGACGTTACTGTACCCACGAACACGCCGGGTGGGAGACTGATCGCAAATGCCGCAACTCCACCATTATGGCAAGATTCCTGGATCAAACACATCCCCTTGATCGGGAGGACGCTTTTGTGCGCCATGAATGCCGGTCGCTATACGACGACACTTGAGCAGAACGCAGACTTCATTGCTAGTGACCTCGAGAGCTATGAGACCCGGTGGAGTGGGACAGCGGTAGGAGTGATCGACGGGTCCAAGTGAGTTGATAGTAGGGGAATGACTTTCAATGTACGATTAGTTAATTTGTATTCCATCCTGGAAATTGTTGGCCGTCTCAGAAGTTCTTTTATCCACATGTTCGATGGGCTTCCTGTGATTTGGCGCTAGGGTGACATAAAGTTGTAAAGCCAGGGTCGTATTCGCTTGAGTATGAAGTCGTAGGTGTGCGAATACCACGAACAACTCCGGGATTCTTGTTGACAATTTAGATAGACACATCGGATGACATCTGGTTCTTCCAAGCAAGGGTATTCGACGTAAGTTGATAGCATTCATCCGTTGTTTAGACCGTATAATGCATCTCAGCGGCATGTTAAATTGATGAAGAATGTCCAATAAACCCACCGATTCGGCGATGATGATGCCTCTCGTCGATACGCATAGCAATGCTGACGGCATCGCTCAATGGGTGATCTGAGGCATAGCCTTGGTTGAATATGCCACAAAACCGAGCATAGTCGACCTCGTGGCACATCCGGGTTTTCGTAGGAGATTCAAGATTGACTGATAAGGCATGCAAGTACTTCTCCGGGATCTGGCAGTTTGTGGCAACGGGATATGCAGGTACAGATGCTTGACGGCGAAATGGATGACGAATATTGGGCGGCTGAAACTGGGATGGAAGATGGCAGCTGGGGAAGCCGAATGGGCCCACGATCGACCTGGTTCAATCAAAACCCATGATGCACCCTGGAGGAGCTGAAAACATGTCGTTCAAGCCCCTTCATTGGGTGCAATCAATGCCGGGGAGCTCGTTCTCTCGCCTGTGGATAGACAATCTGCAGTGTCCATTCTGTCAGTCTACAAGTCCAGTCTAGGTGCAGTCTGCTGTGGTACCGGTGGGCACGAAGCAGCCAGGGAACTGGAAATTTTGAGGTTCTCTTGTTGCATGCGACTTTACGACTTCTTTTCTCCGGCCAGTACTCCGTAAGTCGACCATTCTTCCAGACTGCGACTGTCACCACTGTATTCTTTTCTGTCTTCTTGTTCTTTGTTGAGTCTTGTACTGCGGCTAGTTGTTGCTGCATTCGAAACATCAGACCCGGGCAGTTTTGGACGACACACTATAGTCCACCTGCCGGACTTAGGTATGCAAACCTCTCGCCCTTTTCACCGCCACTTAGATCTCTATCCCTGGGTGCACGATCAATCTGTTCCTGCGCACGACAACTGACCAGCGACAAATAGCACCCCTCCTTACCTCTTGAGCATGGAAAGATAGAAACCCACCTTGATCCTTTGTGCTACCCACCTATCCTCCCTCCGAACAGCCACCTACTCCTCCGCCAGAATGCGAGGCTCACATCTCCTACCTAAACAACTCCGCTCACTGGGCAAAAGCGACAGCTGGTTGAATCGAACAATCACATCAAACCTACTGGCAGTCTCGCACGTCGCTTGTCAACATCCTATTCATACTATCGTGGCCATTGCTTTCTTAGCAAGCACCTCATATGTTGGACTGTTACAGGAAAGCCTGTTTGATAGCGGGATAAAGTCCCTACAACACAATGGCCGAGTAGATGTCGAAGCACTACTCACGGGTAGCCGGACGCTAGAATTGTCACAGAACACTGCCTGGAAATGGCAGTTCTCAGACGATTCTAGTGTTCCAGAGGTGTCGCTGGTAAGTCCCTCATAGAGATATCTACACCCAAATTGACAAATTTATGCCAGGGTCCTAACCACTACGCCCTCACCACCTTTGTCTTCCCAGACTCTTCTTCTGCTCCTGAAGCTCATTCCATCCCCATTCCGGCCAATGTCACAGCTACCAATATTCCGACTACCTCAAATCTCCTCTCTCCGATATCGCACGACGCCTCCTTGGCCTTTTACACCACTTTCTCCGAACTCCCTGATTTCTTACGAGCTGCCCAGGAACTGCCAGCACAGAATGCGCCGGCGGAAACGGATGAACAAGCCTCATGGATCATGAAAGCTGCTCGCGTGGGCAATGGACGGGCTACCTATGCAACTTGGTTCCGCGAGGGCTGGACTTCGTTCGTGGATCTCCTCAAGCACGCCGAGACATTGGACATCATTATTATGTCGCTGGGCTACTTGTCCATGCACCTGACTTTCATTTCGCTGTTTCTGTCCATGAAGCGCCTGGGCTCTAATGCATGGTTGGCCGTCTCTGTGCTGTTTTCCAGCCTCTTTGCTTTCCTCTTCGGATTGGTCACGACAACGAAACTCGGAGTTCCCATCAACATGGTCTTGCTATCAGAAGGTCTGCCGTTTCTAGTGGTCACTGTTGGATTCGAAAAGTCCATCATCCTTACAAAGGCTGTTCTGTCCGCTTCTTATGACACTAAACGACACCCTACCGAGAATGGCTCCGCGAATGGAAGTGCTTCAGGACCAGTC